TTTTTATCGGTTTTCAGCGTCATTTTGTTATCGTTTTTATCATTAACTCTGTTTTCCTGGATGTTTTCACGTGTGTTATGAATAAATCTTCTTTTTTTTTTCGGTACCGATACTAGTTTTATTTTGTTGTAGTTATCCGCGACACCTTAAAGGCTGGTCCGTGAAAATATTGTCGGGCATAAACCAGTCCGTGGCGCAAAAAAAGGTTGGGGACCGCTACACTAACGGATGGCATGAACGTCATATTTTAAAGCAGCTACATGCTAACCTGATACTACACTTTATCCTGTGGGGTTTTTGTTCTAATTTCTGCTCACTGAACATTGCAGACTCTGTTTAAATAAAAGAAATCTTTCCTCTCCATCAGATTTATGCCTGCATGATGGTGTTCTTCCTCAGCAACATGATTGAAAACCAGTTAATGTCAACAGGAGCGTTTGAAATCACATTAAATGGTGAGTGTTATTCTAGCACGTACTTAGTGCCCAGTGGATTTGACTTTATTTCATTTTTCTTGCAATAACATTCATAAACTTGAGATGATGGAACAAAATCTAGCCCACAAATTAAAATTAAAATATTCTTTTATAGATGTACCAGTGTGGTCCAAATTGGAGTCAGGTCACCTGCCCTCCATGCAGCAGCTTGTGCAAATCCTGGATAATGAAATGAAGATGAACGTTCACATGAACGCAAGGCACCACCACCATTCATAACCTTACTGTTCAATTCCTAGCTGAAGCTAAAAGCCCATCCATGTAAGTACAGTCGTGTGACAAAGACTTTTTTTTGTTTTTGTTTTTTGGAGTCCCTTCTACTAAAGTGAAGGTTTATGCTTTTTAATTTGGCCTGCTCCTTTCTCTGCCCTTCTAGGTCTGAGGTGGGTTTCTCACTGGGCTGTGAGGTGATGTTTATGAACGTCTGCGCTGAAGGCAGGAACACTGCTAGCACAGACTGGATGTCCCCATCACTCTTCACTGCGCCCCTTAGAGATGACCTGCCCCTGACGCCAGAGTGGGATCCATGGCAACAGTGCTGGCCATTTTGTCATTTTCTTGTACTATTCATACTACTACAGAGTTCATCCAGGTGATATTAGTGAGCCCATAAGGAGAGAGTTAACATTGGTTCTTGTAGTCTTTAACTATTTGAATATAATTTGATCTCTGTGGGGAAAAAAGAAACAATGTGTCATTTGTACCACTGAGCCATATGTAGAAATTTGTTTATCAAGTAGTTTACCGTGTAGAAATTTGCAGCACTTAAAAGTCTGTCATCACTGTTGTGAAAATAACATTGGGAACCTGTTGGTATGATTTCTGGATTTTTATATTTACAAACCTTGGAGGAAACTAAGAAGATTAATAAAACATATTGTTAACTATTTAACTCTGAAACTGCGGTGTGGTGTTGAGTTGACATACTAACGCATCTGTTGTCATCAGGCTTATAATTTACTGTGGGTATACTATGCAATGGTATGAAATATCTGGAGTAACAACCTGATTATCAAGTCTTTGGGAAGCTCTACACTGATTTTTATATTACAAGGCAAAAGAGAGGAGAAATAAAAAAATAAAAATAAAAAAAAACAACTACAAGACCAGCCTAAAAGAAATAAAGTGGTTAATGTGCAACAGATGACTTTATTTAGACAAGGAGTAATGAAAGTCATTTATTGGGTTAATTGTATAATACCTTTACTTGATATTCTCTTTGTGAAACCAGGCTCCATTTAAATTGAATTTAAAATAAAGGTAAGTCTGGCCTTAAAAATGAGAAAATACTGATTCAGCCAAGCATGCTATAAGGATTATCTCTATATATCGACATGCTGGCACTCAGGTGCTAGTACATAAAATGTTTTTTCTTTTTTCCTTTCGTTTTCTGGTAACTAAAGTCAAAATGAGACATGCAAAATGTTTTTCCAGCTTTGCGGTTTGTTTGTTTTTGGGGGGGGGGGTTTTTCCCTCCCCCAGTCACTGTCATCATGTTCCAATATTACATATACATCAACAATCCTGAAGGCACTTGAGGATGAAGGCTTTGTCACTGTCATTCATCATTACATCATCACTGACTTTCAGGAGCCTTTGAGCAGTAACCTGTAAGTGATGGGCTGGTGTAGTCTTAAGTTTTTGGGGATGTAAGGGCGTCGTCAGGTACTGGTGAAGATGCTGAATTGCTGCGTGGATCCTGATTTTGGCTGCCAATGCCAGCAGCTCGTCTTTAGAGAGCGATGAACCTGAAGTATGCACGTATTCACCCTAATCAAAGGTTTTTTCACGTTAATGAAGCACTTTAGCATTTTGTTACAGTCATTTTGCAAATCATTTAAACCCTCTGTGTAGTTAAATGTTAAAATATTTGCTTTCATAAAGAAAGACATCAGAAAACTGGTAGTAATGCATACCCATATCCAAACTTTTAGACTTATTCCAGTATACTCAAAATGAACATATTTTCCAATTTTTGTTTTTCCATTTTAGCCCTTATGTTTTGTCATATGTTTAATTCTATAAAATAGCCAGTTCACAATGTGCAGACTAGTTGCACAGTGCTTCAGTCTTACCTGAGCGCAGCAGGTACCCACACTGAACTTAGCCTGTTGCCTGCCTGCCAAGAAGGAAACAAACACTTGTTTGTTCCCCAGGACTCGAACTCCAACAGTTTTGTTGAGGGACAGAAAGATGGGCTGCAGGGGCGTGGGAGTACCCCAGCTCCACTTACAAGTTACATTGCCTGCATTGTTTAAGCATCGGCCACCAGATATGTTTAAGGACAGCCTGCAATGAGAGTACAGAAAAAATACATGCATATAAATGGACTGTAGCTCATTGCCATTATGTATTTATGCTCACCTGTGCAAATTTTAAATATCACATTTACACCCCATAGACAAAAACATTTTTTGACAGCAACCTCTATGACAACAACTATAGGGCTAATAATATAATTTAAAGAGGCAATATTTAATAAATGGTAAATATTTTAAAAAAAATGCTATCTACCATATGTTTCCATTGGTGTGATAGCATGTCGCTCTGCCATCAGACTGGAATATAGCTCTGATTTGTTGATTAGGGGCACTGACGTCGTCATACACTATACAAACTCTTCCATTGTGTTCAGTGACGACGATAAGTACAGCCAAGAGGCCAGAGGGATAACTGTAACCAAGCTGGTAAGGACAGGAACACTGACTATAGAGGATATTCAATTCAACTGGAATTCACTGGATTTCTTTAATGTTTAAATTGTGCATTTTTAAATCACTTCCGCAAAGTCTCATGATCAATCTGATCAAATCTGAGAGGATACAAGACCTGAGCAGAGCCACCAGGGAACATGGTAAGGAATGTGATGCCACTGGAATAAAATTTCTGTAAAACTCCAGACCCCACCTGTGAATACAGATAAAGTTCAAAAGAAGAAATTATCATGTCTAGAAATTCTATTTTGCACACAATAACATGGACTTTTGAAAAATTATTTTTAAAAAACAATTATTATTCTTATAACCTAATAGTGTGGAGTTTGAAAGAAGTGGGAGGGTTGCTTTATTGCAAATTTACCTCTACATTCAAGTTCTCTTTCAATGTCTAAACTCGTCAGCCTCTGCAGGGTCATTTAGATTGTCTTTTGGCCTTTTTACCCAGCTTTACTAGTTTACGATACTAAAACTGAGTAGTTTCTCTTTATAAATAATAATACTATTTAGCGTAATAATAAAGTCTTGCATTTGTGAAGGTTTTGGGTTCAATGTATTATGTAGACACAGTGTGACCACATGGGGGCATTGTATTAGTGTGTAATGCAGCTGTCTGAGGCCTCTATTCAAACATAAATGAAACCTCTGTGTTGGAAAAACGTCATATATTTACAATATAATAAGACAAAACAAGCTCTGTGGGTCATGAAAAATAGAAGTAATATTAATTTGCATGTTACCTGATGATTACATATGCCAAACTGAACTGGTTTCCAATCATAAAAAGGGAGCAACACCTCCTCCTCTTCCATTTTTAAGCATTTTTCACTTGTGCTACTGCAATACGTTGTCCCCTTTCCTGGAGCATGTGAGAGTCTTAACCTGAAGACCCCTGGTGCAGAGAAAGCTAAACAATAGCAAAATAGACTGCGTTAGTTTCACAGAGCTTTATAAAATCAAGATGCAGTTACCTGTCTGTCTGTCTGTCTGTCTGTCTGTCTGTTTATTATGACTGTATGCAAAAGTTTCAGGCTTCCAGTGTGAATGTTGCTAACTACTCACAGGTCTTCCCTGCAAGCAGATTAACTGGGTAACCACCGTAGATTGTAGATTCTCTTGATTGTATTCTATGAAAAAATACAAAATAAACGCTACTCATATTAATTTTGCACATTATTTGAGTCATATTTCTGTTCCTACTTTCATTCTGTTTACAGGCATTTTCATGCAAAATCATGCAAATGTGTACCTAGGTTTTCTCAGAAAGCCTTTCATAAACTTGTGGTAAGCTTCACTCTCTCTGGATTTGTGATACAGAATTTCCATCTGGTCTTTTGAAGTTAGAGTACCAAAGGTTAGGTTAGATCGCTCCTCAAACAAAAGTCTCTGCTTCACCAGGATTTGACATAGCTGCTGCCGCTGAGCACAACAGAAGTGGGTCTGTGATGGACACAGAGGAGGGGGTAAGGAGGTCATGTAGTACAATAGGTGAATTTAGGGATTTTGACTTGACCATTTACAATCTGCCTCACCTCAGGATTATGTACCCATGTTAGAACAAGTAGAGGATGAGCCTTTTCCCCACAGTACTCACATTGTGCTGGGTATTCTGTCTGGGACTGAATAACATTTTTTTTTTTATCAGAGTAACATTATCTGTAACACCTTGCTTCCTTCCTTAAAAAGTAAGGAGATATTTGACTTTTAATTTATTTTTACCCTTTGGGGAAAAGTTGTTAAATTCATCCTGTGATTGTCAGACTCACGATTGTACCTCAGAACTCCCGCAGCTCTGATACAATAGGTGGGTGGGTCACTGACAGGTTTTGGGCAACTGCATCGCATCCTCTTACCAGACAAAGAGAAAAAATGACAAATAAAAGGAAACATTCAATGATTTTAGAAAGAGTGAGATATTAATCCATATAATAATATCAAGATTATTATATGACCATGTGAAACCAATCAAGGTCTTATATGGTCGTCTGGAACATGGAGTAGATCACGAGCTAATGTAGCAGTGCCATTTATTGAAACACAGAAGTCTGAATAAGAGAACTGTTAACAGTGTTGGTATGTATTTATAAATATACACTCACTGGCCACTTCATTAGGTATTCCTGTTCAACCGCTTACATCTAACCAGCCAATGTGGATGTGGTCAAGATAACCTGCTGAAGTTCAAACTGAACAATAGAATGGTTATAAAGGGTGATTTAGTCCAGTAGAGGGCCTTTGGGATGTGGTGCAATCAGGGATTCAGCTGACAAATCTGCAGCAACTGTGTGATGCTATCATATCAACATGGACCAAATTATCCGAGGAATGATTCCAGCACCTTGTTGTCTCTGTGCCAAGAAGAGTCAAGGCAGTTTTGAAGCCAAAAGAAGATCCACCAATCTAATAAAGTGACCAGTCAATGTACATGTAGGAGATATTTTAGTACTTTGAACAGACTTGCAGGAAAAGCTGGACTTCATCTTTTTGTCTTGACTGTGTTTAGTGTATTTATCCCAAGATAAAACAATCCATCCTCAGCTCAATGAGCTAGTCTCATGTGCTACCAGGAATCAAAACTTATTCCTAACACATACACACCCAAGTATAATACGTCTAATATATTTTTTACATATATAAAAGCAGTCATCATTTAAGGAGGGAAAAAAGACAGATAAAGCTGACAGTTGGTGAAAACAAACACCTCTATACATAGTCTATGAAGATATGAAGATAAGCTGAAGACAGCACGACAATAAAACACCACGTACTTGCCGCAGTGGTAGTCAAGTATTGAGCGATTCTTCAGACTAGCCGGTGTTGTTAGTAACCATGGAGATGAAATAGCTGTATGGCAATGTGTAAACATAACAGCAGACCTCATCTGTGTTGCTGTCTGACTGGTTATGCTAACATTCATAAGCGTTCTGACATAAATTTCTAATAAACAGTAAAATCTATTGTAAGACCCCGGATTTTAAAAAAGCCAAAACCTTTCCACAATTATTGTAATGTGTAAATATGGTAATCTAGTGTTTGCAAAGGATTTGGAGGCAGGGAATAATCCCACCTCAGTGGTTCATTTAACAGCCTTTCTGCAGCTTCACCAGCAGGTGGAGCTTTGGTGGTTGCCATGGCATCGTAGATGTTCAAATTCTCGATATTTTCTGAGCACGTAAGAGGTTGATCCCCAGTTTTCATTGGTCAGCTTGGAAACTGCAGCTGAAACTCGCTTCCGTGACTGAAATTGTTTTTGCGCCTTCCATTTATGAGTAGCAGAGGTTTCTGAACACATGCCACATTAATACTATTTTTAGATGGGACAGCGGTTGTGCATTTATTTTTTTTTAGTTTACCTCATTAATTATTACTGTGTGTCCTAATTAAACTCTCTCTCTCTCTCTCTCTTTCACTCACTCACTCACACACACACACACAAAGCCCGTTAAGAATAAAATGTTAACTAGACATTACTCAGGTGCATATAGTGCAGGTAATTAGAGAATCCGTTGATGTCCCCGCAGCGGCTTCTGATTCGCTGTGGCGGCACCTGGCTTGTTTGCTGCCGCACAAATAGCCATGGCGAAGTCTCGCCTTCCAGCTCTTAACATTTCTAGGAGACACGCACAGCTAAACGATGCGTAGAGAAAAAGGGAGACGTGCCTCCGTTTGTTGTTTAACTGTAGCTGTTATTCTGATGTGCCATTTAGTGCAAGCAATAGACTGTTACCGACTAACGAAAACAGAGAGGCGAGGAGGGCGCAAAGAGGCCGATGCGTTAGGTGCACGAAAGGGGAAAGTCGTATTCGGAAAATCTGTCGGGAAAGGCTCAGGCCTTGAGTCAGAGGTTAAATATGGGAAAGCCTCTACAAACTCATCCGTGGAGGAATCCTATCAAGCAGATTTTATAGGTAAGCTTCAGGTCCACAGTTTATGTAAGGACACTGGCTGCAGGAAAAGCGTGCTTATTTGGAGATGTACTTGCATTTTTATTTAAAAGCTCTATGCCTCTGTGCATAACTGCAAAACTTGCTCTTCTTGATTTCCCCCCCATGTCAGGCTGGTCAAAAGGCCAAACGTATGACGCCAGTTCCAGAGAAGCAGCATGGAGGCGCATGGTACCCTTGCTGCTGTGCGGTGGGGATCGGATGAAGTTCAGGGTAGCGGGAAGAGGCGTGTCAGAGCTAGCAGTGGACCAAGGTAAGCAAGCGGGGCTTTTTTTTTTTTTTTTTTTTTTTTTTTTTTTTTTTGTAAAGTGTCCATTTGGTTGCATCGTCAGGTAAACTTTTTTTCCCATAGCAAATGCACCGCCAGTACCTCTGAGCCAGGTCCCTCCCAACTGTGGCTACAACATGCAGAGGAACTTACGGTCACTTGTTATGAAGGTTCCCTATGATGGCTGCAGTGTGGTTCAAGAGGTAATTTTAACTGAAATTAAGTCTTATGCTATATTTGAATAATTGGCAGCCTGCTGTTAAAATTGGCTAGTTTTAGGATTATTTTTTTAATTATCAAAAGTAAATTAAAATTATGCAAAATCTTCCTTAGATGGCCGAGGCTTTAATTTGCTAGTCATGGGTTTGGAACGGTCTCTTGGCTAAACATAAACACTTAATATTGTGATCTCTAACAATTATGGCTCTTTTAAAAGGGGGTAAATAACTTTAACTCCTTGACTGGTAACACGCAAGTCCTGATATTCCTTCTTGTTTTAAAGGGTGGCAGTTATGTGCTTCCAATGCGGTGGCAGGGTATTCCAATCTCCCTTTGGTGTTCCAAACCTGCAGCACCAGCTCTTATGACGACTGCCTCTCAAACCCCTCAGGACCCCGCATCAAACTCCCAGATGCCCTACGCTAGCAAAAATCCAGACCAATTGTATGCCCATGTTCCTCAACCCTTTTTCTTGCCACAACAAATGCACTATCCATATCCTTCAGTTGCCGTATCGGATCCTGCAGAACCCATTAAGCAGTCAGAAATGCCCCCATTCCAGCAATACCCTCCACTCTTTCCCCCCCTCTATCCTTACTTTTATCCCCCACTTCCAGCCACAAGTGCAGCCCCAACCACCACTGCAAAGCCAGAATCCTTCATTCCTCCAGAGTTTCTCTTACCTGGTTACAAACCAGTTGGTCCACCTTTTCTTTTGCCCTTTCCACTACCTGTGCCAGCAGATACTGAAACCACAACTAACGCTGACACTTATCCCCACTCACTGCAGCGTCCACCCAATGTGCATTTCCTCTCCCAGTATCCTCTCTTCCCTCAGTTTGTCCCTCTTCCACAATATCCGAACAACCCTAATGCAGATTTGGCGGCTGCTACTGGAAGCTCGGACACCGTACTCCCTCAATATGTTGTGCCTTTCCCTCAATTTGTTCCTCAATATCCAAGCAATCCTAATCCAGACTTGGAAAGCGGAAGCACAGACACTCTGCTGCCTCAAGCTCAGTCGCACAATTTTCCACACTTCCATCAACAAGTTCAGTTAATGCCCTTTCGTCATAGTTTGACGAAAATATAATAAAGGCTTTAAATAACACCAGTTCTTGGTTTGAAATTCTTTGTTCAACAGCTCAACTCAATCAGCACCACAGATTCAAACTCAAGAATCATAGATGTTATGAGCATTTAGTGCAAAGGTGATTGGAATTAATAAGCAGACTTGATGATATTTGGATGTTGGGGGCTCAAATTTAAATGATTAATGTCCCTGTTGTCTGCAACCACCCACCAAACAAAGGGGGGTCGGGTGGATATGTAATGTTGGAAAGTCACTATTTTATTGCACTATGCTGGGCTTATGTAGCCTGAACTGTCAAGCTTGCTTTTTACTAATAAAAAGCAATGTTCTGTTATGCTGTTCCAACTTAGTCAAAGCAGCAAATGGACTATCTTTACAGGACTTAATCATGTACAGTTGTACACCAGGTCCTTTACCTGGCATGCTGGGTCCTTCAAGAGATCTGTTTTACTCAAATGGCACCGGGGGGAAAAAAAACAAGTCAGAAAAAAACAGCTTGTTGCTTGTCTCTCTCTCGCTCTCTTAAAAAAATACATGTGACATATAATGTAATTGCAAGGAGGTATTTCTGCAGTCTATTGATTACTAGATAGTGGAAAGGGGGTGGGATTAAATAAACTTATGCTTCTTCCTGCTCCTTTTTGAACATGAAAGTTATTTGTAGTTGTGGTTGCTCGTTTTCCTTTTGTTTTGCTTTGTCTCTGTTTAATTCTGTTGTTGTACTTTTTCAACATGTTCAAAATAAAGATTCAATTAATCAATAAAAAAATATTGACTCATTTTTGACAATTTCTATTTTGCCCCACCCTCCCAGTTTTCTCTTTACACTCTTCATTTTGTTCCTTTTAATAAAAATGAAAAAACAAACTAACACAATTTGTAAATACAGATAATCAGAAATAACCAGGGTGACTGTTGCTTAGGAGGCAAAGGTGGTCATTCGACAATTGAGAAGTTGGTAGTTCAGTCCCTGGCTGCTCCAGTCTGCATGCCAAATATTCCAGTATAAGTACCTTGCATCCATTGGAGTGCAATGTGATATGGCACTTAAGCTTAGAATAAAAACTGCTCGAATGGGCGGGTGTGAATGAGGCATATTGTATAAAGTGCTCAAGTAGCATTGAAATACACTAAACCAGTCCATTTACCATAACCACCACCTTAGGCCACTCATTGGATTTTTTTTTCTTTTTCTTGGAGTTGTTTGAGCCCATCCTTTCTTTCAGTTAGCTGTTTGTAATAGTTTGCCAAGCTCTGCAAACAAGCGTTTTAACGGCACATTAAAGAGGTTTGGGCATTTCTCGCTGCCCAGACCTCTACATTGGAGAGACCAAACAGCCACTTCACAAGCGCATGGC